TTTAAGGTAATTTCATGAAAACAATTCCAATACGTTCATTTAATTCACTTGACTCAATTGCTATTAATCCATTAATATGGGCATGTTTTGATCTCCTTCTGTAAAATCACCGATGTTTTCAAGAAGACGGAAGGCCCTCGTGATCTCGCACTCTGAATGCCACACTGCTCTCATCTACTCGTAACACCTCGTCTTTTACCTCGTGAGACACGTCTCCACGTACGTCACAAAGTTTTTTTTAATTTGTTTGATACGTAAATAAAAAAGAAAATCAATAAAATGCAAATAAATTATTCGCCTATCTACGAGTTCATCGTAATGTCGCCCGGCGTTGGCGACAGAGACAGGGCACTCCCCTCTGCATCAGCGGCGGAAAAAAGGGAAAAGACGTGACGGCTGACAGACGCTGAGAGGACGACGGAACCAAAGGAAAAGACGAAGAAGAAAAAGAAGAATTGCATTCTCCTCAGTCCTCCTAAAGCGACATATCTAGACATTAGATTCGGAGGGTCGTGTTTCGGTTTTTTAAGAACTGTTCAGCTATGAGGAAAATTTTGTTAAATAGACAAAGGTGGAGTGGTGCAACACGTCCATTTAATATACAAAGTACTCTTGGTACAATGTTCTAACTCTATTGAGCGTGTAAATTTAGCTTTCATTCTTGCAAAATGGCGTCGTTTTTTAAGAATTTTCGAATCGCTTTTTGCAGGGATGGGAGAGAGTTAAATTTCCTTGAATCCGGCGTTGACTCCTACCCCACAAGCACTTCCGGTTGTGGCGAGCAGGGGCGAAAGTACGCATGAACAAACGAGATAAAATTTTAGAGGCGGCAAAAAGGAAAATGATTCAAATTGTGACCACCGGGCGTCGTCTTCGTCGCGTGCGATGTTTATTTATTTCTCTCACTTAATTTGAACTCTACGAGTTTTTGAGACAAATTGTTAAATAGTCGCAAATTAATTTAAAAACAGGCCCTTTGAAGCTTAATATGTTTATATATTTATATTTAAATGCGAATAAGTTATTTATATTATAAATTTTAGAATTTATGCATTCTTAAATAAATATAATTTTAATTTTATGTGTTTGTACCACTTTTGGACATAAAATATACTTGATTTTATAAATAGCTTTTTCCTGAGCTATTTAAAAAGGCTAAGGGTGACAAAATTGTTAAATCCACCTCTGGTGGTGAGCGCATTGTGACGCGGCGTGTGGCACAGTGTGTCCGCGGGGTGGCGCGGCGTGTGGCGCGGCGTGTGGCGCGCTGCAGGGCCGTTCCCCTCGCGCGCCGGCGCCTGCGCCACAGGAGCAACGCTCTGCGCGCTGCCCGCCCGGCCAAGGGCTTCCGGTCGCGGCCCGTCACGCCTCGCCGCGGCCGCCGACGCACGCGTGCTGCCCACCCGCGCCATGCCCGTCGGCCATCCGCGTGGACCCAGTGCCAGGGCATTCGCCTGATTTTTACGGGAACTCGTTTCCGGTAGCAGTGGGAGATAACATTTTGAAAGAAGTGAAATGAAAGAGTTGTCAATAACTAAAATATTCACTTGGCTTTCCGGCGTGTCTGAAATTCTCTCAGACGAGAATCTCAGATCAGAGATATTGGTCTGTAGGTGACCATATCATAATACCATATCAATGTTTTTTTTATGAGAATGAATTAAATATTATTTCTAAGAATCGTGATTCTTCTTCAAATGTGTTTTATATTTCATGTCATATGGTAATCATTGTAGACAAATATTTTTGCGAGACATCGAAAGGCCTAATGAAAGAACAAAAGTTCAGATATGTGACGTCGACATGCAAAGAGAATTGCTAGTTATTGATGCACTGCTCGTGAGACATTTCAAAAGAATTACTTGGTGGTCGTGAATTTTTAGAAGAATAGAAATATCAGTTGAATGGTCACGGATTTGATCCTCGCTAGGTACCGGATGAGTTTAACATCGGTGTTTATGGCGCGTAGGGTTCAAAGTCGTAGGAGATCAAAAGTATTTTCTAAACAGCTTCCTTGATCGCTTCCTCCCTGAGCAGCGCCATAGAAAACGGGCCGCGCACCGAAAGCGGTCCTTTCTTCCTTCCTACACGGTTTCATTCTCATCCTTGAGACGCGCGGTAATTTGATCACATTTCATCGTGTGGATCATACAATTTATATAGGAAACTTCCGACAAGCCTTAGATGCAGGGCAGTCATGACCTGAAGAGGGCAGTATATCAATAAAAGAAGACAAGACGAAATATCAGACTTAGTTAGTCATATGAGTCGATTATTACAGAAAACTTTTTTGGATGCATTGCGGCTATTTTCAGAGCAAGTGTCAGTGTCTGGTATAGCAAATACAATATTTAATTACTACAAATTGTAGTTATTGGAACTTTCTATGCTAATCTTCACATCTGGTTCTTGAGTATTTTTTTTAAATTCATAGACTTATGCCAAAATACATCTCTTAATAACCGAATCAATTACCTGCTGCAAACCAAATTGCTGCTGACCTACCAACATAGTCATAAAACAGGAAGAAGAGATGGTAAGCTCTAGCCTCCTGTCGCAGCACTTACTCTGAAGATGGCAGCAATGCGGTCGTAAAAGCTTTCTGTAATACACGATATAATTTATGATGAGATAGCGTCTGAAACTTTCATTGAAACGTGATAAACCCACGCCATTTCCTACCAATTTAATATAAACTCGCGCCCGTGATAAACTCGCGCCATTTCCGTACAATCGTTAATTTAGCATCACAATTTTAATTTTTATATTTGAATATTCGACTCGACCTCCATCAAATCTCCCTTCACTATTATTTCTATTTCCTGATTCAATATTAAAATCACACAAATCTAGCATTTTTCGTCCACAAAACATAATTTATTTTTCCCACTTTCCGCAGTTTTCTTAGGCAGTTGATATTAGTGCAAATCGCCTGTATGCCAGTTTTTATGCAAATATAACTAGTTTTCATGTAATCTTAACTGCAGGACAATTTATTAAATGAATGTATTTGTGCAAAAATTACCAAGAAAGCCAGTACGATTTAATACTATTGGATACAAAATATAGTATTTTCTCTCAAAATTGCCTTTTATTTTGTGATAATTACTTTTTACGAGCGTAAGAAGTAATTATCAATGTATTTTAACTGATACATATATATAAAATCAATTTAGATGTTTAGTAAATATCGTCTCAGCAATTTAGATGTTTTCGGAACCTAGGCCTCTCAGAACCCATTAAACTTCTACCCAATCCACAGAAATTCAGACGCAAACCCAAACGGTGGTACAGACACAGGTTTGGGTATCCTATAGTTTAAAAGTACCTCTAAGACCACTTTTTAATCGAACTTATATTGGCTTTATATTTGTATAACGTTTCTATCAGACTTTCATAATCCTCCTGCACAAGACAAAATTCGAAACAAATTTCGAAGACAATTAACGGTATTCTTTGCTGTTTTTATGCGAGTCTTAGAAGTTATTTTACAAATCAGATCTATTCACAAATTCGTCCGCTTCTTTTCCATCGAGATTTCCAAACATGCAGTGAAGTGAATCCCAAGTTACGGAATAGATAATCACCATGAAGTTGTACAGCTTGAGCTCTTGTGCTTTATACTTCATTATTAATATCTGCCGTTATTTTCTGTATTTCTGCATGAATTAAAATTCGTTTTATTTTCAATATTACCTGTAGTTATTATGTTAGTGCATCTGACAGACAAAATCTGAATATTAATTTCTCACAATATTCCAATTCACCAATTTCCCCCACTAGAATGCGCATTGAAGTCACCGGAACACCCGTCTATTCCTGATTCTAGGATTTTTTCTTGTGAGGACTCTTGTCCTCGTATGAAATATGGCAAGAATCTGTGTTGAGTGTGGGGTTCGTGTTATCGCCTGAAAACCTAACGGGCTGCCGCAACCCCTCGTCGCGTCCGTTGCCAGCGGCGGCAGAGCGACGGGTTGGGAAGGGGTGGGCGGGGCGGAGGAGGGAAGGTGGAGGGGTCTGGGAGTGGGGAGAGCGTGTCGAGGAATCTGGTCGAGCTTGTACGGGACGCAGCTTCGACTCTGAGGTCGGGCGTTTGTTGTGACCGCAAAACCTTCGTAACACTTTGGAACTCGATGGAAACAGCATTCCTAATAATTGCCATCTCGTTTAGTTAGATGGATAGATGGAATACCTCAATGAGAACGATTCGAAAAAGAAGGAAATACTATTGTTAGGTAGAGTATACTATATATGAACTTCTCTGAATTTATGAAATGATTACAATAAAAACAGAGCGTTCAAGTAAATTAAAGTCTTAACCAAAATTACTAGAAATCTCTCACTAGGCATGGACCTGCATTTCTGATGATCTTCATCCTCTCATATAATTTTCTGTTTTCCAAGAATTATGTACTTTTTAAAAATTGTGGTAATTTTATAAAATATTTAAGGTTTAAGGAAAGGCGAGTAAATATAATATTACAATTTGAGTAATTTCACGCTGTTATGTAGTTAAATGCTTAATACAATACATACGAAATGGAACAGGGATGAACAGCAAATAGTTTATGCAGACAAACTCATTCGCTCAAGTTTGCAATGGAGAATAGCCTTTTCTAACAGGTAAATCTGCGGCATATGCATTCAAAAAATATGTGTGGTGTATGATATGTAACAGATTAGGAAATATCCCAAGGATTTTGCGGGTCGAAGTCGTTTGAGTAATATATTTTTTCTGCTCAACAAAAGTGAAATACTTAATTCTTTCGGTACACAAAAATTTCATAGAATTAGCGGTTAATTATAAACTCGCCCATTTTTGTCTTTGTTTACAAATATCCATAAATAACATAATTATTAATTGATTTGTTTTTATTTGCTGTATTTATTTATTAGTACTATATGGTATAAAGGAAAACTGTTGCCTAGTGAAATATTGCCTCTGTAAAATAAGCTGTTTACCAATTATTGAGATACACGAGATTTTGCTCAAAACCTAGTTATAATTCAATTCTTTCACCACCATGACCTATGACAAATAAGATATTTAAATATTTGTTACGTGTAGACCCTCATGGAGGTACAAACCGGAGATATTACCTCCGTGGAGTTACAAGGTATAGATGTTTTCACCATATGTTTGTGATAAAGGCAAAAATAAACTACATCAAATCCCAATGGCAATTATATCTGCTAATATATAATTATCCTTAGACCGAGAAAATCCAAAATTCAGTTTCTCTGATACTTAACCCCGTCCGTAATATGTCACTAGAAAAAAACAATGCCACCTCAATCATCTGTACTATCTAGGAGGTACTGGAAAAAAAGAAGAAATTTAGTTTCCAAAAACATAAAGAGAATCCTTAATGGTTGGACAGTAACTGGTAGAAGTCGCTTCTCAGTGGTCAGGCTCATGCGGGCCACCTGACAGGAAAGGACAGCGCTCTGCAAGGCTCATGCGGGTAGACTGAGGAGCCGGTGCTATATTTGGCTCGGCACTCAATCGATGTTAGGACTATACGAATCGAAGAAAATTTAACTAGGGTTTCCGAGAACTACGGAAAGGATTTCTGAACATTCACTAAGGATCGATACGTGGTAAATAGTTCTTGGTGCCGGAAGAAAAGAAAAAGCTAAATTTATAAAGTGAAAATAAGATAATTTTAGCTGCTGGCATTTTGCGAGGGAAAATGTAGAGAAACGAAGGAAAGGTACTTCAATGAATCACAGAGGCCTACTCAATTTGCGAGAAGAAAATGAAACGAATAATCAGTATACGTTAATAACTAAAAGGCCTAAACACACGAACAAGCCATACCCGTGAATCTGATTTCTGCTGCCAATGTCGGTAGAAATATATCGCTGCATTGATCCCCGTTGTACAAAGAATTTACAGTCGACTACGGTTACATGGAACTTCTGGGGCTGCGACTAACATTTTTGGTTCACTATAGCAGCGGTTCACTAAATCCGATGATGCCAAAATTAAATAGAATTTCTCCAAAATTATTTATTTTATTAATATAGAGATATATTAACAGCACGAATGGAAAATGTTAATGTTTTTATTTGACCTTAAAAAATCAATTGTTTTTAACTGTTTGCTGCGCACATTTTTCATTAGTAATTTCTTAGGTTCCCTCTCCAGAGTTCGTGCTCTCACCATACTAGATCTGCATTGTCTCCTGTCTCTTAAGTATCGTAATGTAGTCTCGACGCCCTTCAATGCCTTTTGCACTGTTGGAATACCTTCTTCATTTGAATCGTCTTCATCACTCATCAGTAAGGTTCCCATGCCGAGTCCGCTACCTCCACCTGAGGGAAACCTTCTTCGATTATGACATGTGGCCGACGATATTTTTTTCCTTAAAGCCAAATGTTGGAATTTATGACACTGAGGGGATATATTTTTTCCACGAAATAATCAATTTCCAGGATATTGGGTTTCCTACGTTCACTGTAGTAAAGATTCACTGTTCACTACAATCGAATCTTCTTAGTAATGTATGTGAAACGGGACTAGTGACGTAAGTTCACTACATCCAAGTTCATTATAACCGGAGTCGACTGTAGAAGGTAGCAAGCCCAGTTTGACAAGCCTGACTCGCGGTGGTGTAAAATATCATGTTGTAGTCATGTTTCCAAACTGGAAAGTAACTGACATCGATTATTCGTTGAGCAAATATTTCTAAATTTCTTTATTCTGTGACAAACATTAGATATAAATGAAAATTAATATCCTATCATTAAAGCATTGTTTTGAAATTTAAATAAAGAATCCTATTAACATTTTTACTACACATTTTGCTATCCTTCTTGCTTATTCAATTATACGTACATGATGCCCAAAATATTCTTGGGATTCAATTAGACAAAAATATTTCTCTAAAAGAAAGATATTACGCTCAAATAAGCTGTCTAGAGAGCTGAAATTCTAGAAATGAGGAGGGCCAAGACAAGAATAATATTCAGAATCTCATCACGTTCTCTTGAAAGTTGTACAATAAAAACATTCATGTTTCAATAACAATATTTTCATTCTCTTTTACAAATTCTACAGATAAACAAAATGTTGATGTATTATACAATACTTGTGAAAAATGTTTATCATTTCCCATAAAAAATGCTACAAATGTTTTCATTCCACAATAAAACCATTTTTCAAGAAGCACTTGATTAATCTATTCTCAGATCATTTTTGGTAAATCTCTCTAAAGCAGGGGTTCTGAACGGGGTCGGAATTGACCCCCTGGGGTCAATGAAATTCTGAAGGGGTCAATGGTGTTCAAGGGGCTGAGTGGGAGGTCTGAAGCAGAATATGAACCGGTAATTGAGAAGCATAATCAATTTCCTATTGATTACATAATGAATGATAATTAATTGTTTTCTGATATGAAGCAACACAACATAAATTACAAATTCACTCTTCTTTCGTAACTGTTATTCATTCTTAGGCTTAGGGGCGTAGCTAGGCTGGTGTAACCACTCCCACAAAGTAAGGGGTCCTTAATAAGGTCCCCCGCAGATGAATATCGGCAAAGAATAAAACAAATCGCACTCCATGCTAATTTTATCCATTGCACCAGCCATAGTCTTATACCAATTAGATTTAAAATGCATATTTTCGCGTTTTTCGCAGTTAGGATCATTTCGACTTTCCGCACAGGGGCATCCGAAAATGTAGATAAGCAACTGCTTAGGAAACTCGTTTAGAAAACTCGACCCCTTATTAATATGTATTCACAACGACACTGTATCGCTGAAGATAATACTCCCAAAAATACGTATTGGAGAAGTGTTATGGGCTGTTATAAAACGCTCAACGTTTTGTAACCATAGCAAAATACACCTAAGAATAGAAATTCAACTATTCAGAGGCGGAAGAGTTTTCGAGGATACACCTAAGAATAGAAATTCAGCTATTCAGAGGCGGAAGTTATTTGTGTGCAATTCTTTGTGCTACGCACGATTATGTAGCCTATGCTATGACTATTACGGAGAACAATGTAAAGGAGGTTGATAGAGAAAAAAATTCTTTAAAAGGAGCCAATGAATGAAAAAGGTTGGAAATCCTTGCTCTAAAGACATCCTCACACATTCGAAAACACCGCATTAAATTTCATGTAAAATATTCAAAATCAGGTTTTAGAATCTCTAATAATTCACTTGCTTGTATTTGAACATTATTCCAAAGGTTGCTCGAAACGTTTTATCTACAGTTAAGAGCCACATATAAGTTTGACAAGTCTGCGGCGCGCCGATTGTGGAACTGTCGCTGCTGCTACCTGCTCGATTGTCCGCATGATGGATTTCGGCAGCAACTCGTGAAGGGTGGCTACAGCTCGCACAGACAAATTGGGGTGTGAACAGACACAATTGTAATCGTGCTTTCGTCCTACCTTGGCAATTATTTTGGCACGTCTTGGGCTCGAAGTTATGGTGCAAGGGGTTGCAGAGGTTGGAGCAGGGGCGGCAGTGGCTGTCGTAGGAGGAGCAGTACGTGTCCGGCGGGCACGTCGTCTGCCCGCATTCCGCCTCGCCCACCGGCAGGTCGGCGCTCGCCCCGGCCAGCGCGGCCGCCGCCACCAGCGCCCACGCCGCCATCGCCGCGGTGCCCTCCGCCAAGGCGCTCGCGGGCGCCGATCTCCGCCTCGCGCACACGCTCTTTCACGCGCACTCTCCTCAACTGGCGCGGGCGCTCGCGTCTAGCCGCGTACGTGCCGCTGCATGTGGTTCACGGAACGAACTCGAAGGGACAGGTTTTCGATCGTCGTAGCGGACATCGCAAGAGCACTGTCAAAAGTCACACGTTCTTTGCTCGGTTCCTCGATTCACTCCGCGCTCTTCACTTTCACTTCACTATCCGTTAACCGCTTCGATGTCAACCACTGTTCGTGTCACTGTCGGCGCCCACCTGTTTGTGGGGGCGCTGTCACTCACCGTTCCGCACTAACAACTTCCCCCCTCTTCCCCCAAATATTATTACAAATTCAGTACGTGTTGTGAACCACTCGCACTAAACAACACTCCTCTGTAAAATCCCTTAACGACTGAAGTGAACCCAGTGTCTCCGTCGACGGGCGCTCTCCTCCTCGCGAAGGGCCCGCTCGCGCCGCGTGTCTCGCTCGCAGCCGCACTGGAATGCGGAGCCGCCGCCTCCGCCGCCGCCGCACCTGCCCCCACCTCGCGCACCTGCGCCCCCACCACTTCCCACCGGCGGCCTCCGGCGCCGCGAGAGGGCGCCCCAGGACGGGGTGCGAGCGCGAGCGGCTTCCAAGTTCCGAACGTTTTAGCGTTCCCTCCATCACGTTACCTTGTTGGACGCAATGAAGCTCGGAGAATATATATTCCGCAGTCGTCAAGAAATCCAAATTGTGACCATCTTACTGAGTAACAACGCATTTTAATAATTAAACTTGTTCAAAGAATTGGTAGCCCCGACCAGGACTCGAACCCGGGCCTTCTGGTTTACGTCCAGCTGCTCTAAGCGCTTTTAGCGTTGCTTTAAGCCTTCACTGTCAGAAACTTTCAATCATTACTTTAATGAAATATAGATTAATGTTATTATCATGAACGCATATTAAATTGAATGCGCACATGTTCATTAGAACGTAAGAGACAAAGCTTTATAGTCATATCTGGAATTTATGATCTTGATGAACCGATGATTATGAATTCATGAGATGAATGATGAGAGGCAGAGGAAATAGGAGAATCTCTACATTAAATACACTGATTTTAACTTACGCATTGCCTTTAATATACAAATATATTAAGCTCTTTTTTAATATACAAGGTTACGTTAAGATTCATATACACTACATTAATCTATATTAAATTTAATGACATTTCTGACAATGTTGATTTGTAGTTGCTTTCTGATACGTGAAGGAAACTTGAAATATAATTAAATTCGAAGTCCTAGAGTTTCAGGCTTAAATATTAGATTGCGCATTCTAAAACTCGAGGGGAGGCCAACCCCTTTTCTGGTCCCCTTTTCAATTGAACTTTTTTATTTAGTACACACTATGGCATATTTTACCAGTAAATGAAAAATCATACAATGAGAATGGAATTATAACGTTTATGATAACGATTAATGGCAACTAATTGTTGGGCAGGCCAAGACCCAGCTACGGTTGTAGCACCACGAAAAGCATAAGAATGTTACAAATAATGCGGATCACATGCTTGGAGAGACTCTTTCTCAAAAGCCCCAAAACGATTCCTCAAGCTGTCGTGTTATAACGGGGAAAATCAGGGATTGAAAGTATTTACGCAAATAAAATAATGTCTCATTACGTAAGACAATGGGGACCCATTAAAAATTTTCAGGGAAGCCGGCCGAGTGTTTTTTTAATTAAATCTCATTGGGTACGCTTACATACAAATCTCATTTACAACACTGAATACATTTTATTCCTCTAAGAATGACTTTTTAAATATTTTTTTTATATTTCACTAAAAAAGGAATTAGTTCTACTAGTACGCTTTAATTTCAGTGGTTATTGAGTCAGTAACAGTACTGCTTACAGTGGCAGATTTATTTTGCAGCACTGATGAGGTCTGCAAACAGACGAAAGTGTTTTTAGTGTTAACTTGCTGAAATCGGAAATAGAAACATAAAATATAACCTAAGTAAGTTCCATTATTACTACCTATTTTTAGCATTTTGTTCGTTTGAACTGCGTCTTAGAAGGATGGATAGGCCTGCTTTCAGTCTCCTTCCCATGGTGACAACTAAACGAATGTTGCTTCCGGGACCCTTTAGCGTGAGTCCTGCTTACATTTTTCAAAGAAAAAAAAAGGACACTTGTCAAGAACCAGAGAAAAGTTTTCTTTTTTTCTGAGGGAGAGGGTTAGCTTCTTTACAATACAGTTACAAACACAGTAATCAACACATACTATAATTTTCTATGTCCTAGGGCACCTATTGGGAGGGTGTCTTCTCTAGGATCCTTTTTGCACCATCCAGCAGTAGATTTTTTTCTTTATTGTCAATAGAATTTTTTTGCTATATTGGTTTAGAAATGTTAAGATTTAAGAGGTTGCTGATTTAAGGTGCGGAAATTTTCCTTGAGAAATATTAAGCGTATTCTTGTTAGTTAAGAGTCAGATATTTTTCTGCTTGAAAAATGTTCTGGACCGGTAAAGAAGGTAATTTCGAATAGAATCTTTCTAAGAGGCGGGCAATGAAATGGGAGAAAGTTTTTTAGAACTAAGTCTGGAATTCTGAATGCTCGTGTTGGGAGTCGAACGCGAGAGTAGGTCCTGTGAATCTTGTGTACACTGTACAATGATCTAATGTCCATCAGTGAGGCGTGGCATGTCTGAGGTCGTGGCCCCTTGAATTTGAAATCAGTATTTTAATATTGGGGGTACTTTACATGAAGCCCTTGGGACATTTTCAAAAAATGGGATCAACAATTTTGATTAAATTTTGTTGCCGAATAGCGTAAAGGATGCTTAAGAGAATGATGCAAGTCTCATTTTCGTTGAAATATCTCATTTGTTGAAAATTGCAAAAGTCCAACTTCTTTTCGGCGTCTTCCTAAAATTAAAATATTAAAGATTGAGATTTTTTCCCTAATGAAAGCTGTTTTTTAAAGACAGATTTTGAAATAACATCATACACAATATTTCGAAAATTTGAGTAGTTTTCGAGTAATTTTGCGTGAAATATAGGCAATTTTAGATTTTTAAATCTTTTTTTTTTCTGAGAAAAAAACAATTTTTTTAAAAATTGACATTAATTAAATTAATATGAAAGAAAAATTGACAAAATTCAGTGCCATAATTTTGTAGGAACTTTCATTACTTAAATTTGATATTACTTTTGTATGTGGCGCTGTCATAAAATGCAGCGATGGATATTTGAAATCCTATTCCGAGAACATTGTTGAATGGCGACATGGATGGGAGAGAGATAAGATACGGTGGCTTTATTTATTTTACGTTAATGTCAAAATGGCTCTATGGCCAATAAACTAGTATATTCAACTTTATTAAAGTCGGGAAGATTATATACACAGATATGCGTAAGGTAATGATAAGGTAGTTTCGAATTCATTTAGGATTCGATATTTTGGATAGCCTTTAGTTCTGGATATTCCAAGTTATATTTCAATTTATCCTTCTGTATGATTTGCTGTAAATTATGTGAGGAAGAATGTGCTGTTGCTATCCCACTAGTTTTCATGTCCTTTTTATCCATTTCTGTTCTCCACGAATTTTTCTTGTGGCCCTTTGTTTATCTGTATATTTATTTCTCTAATTTCTAGCACAAAATGCGCAGAAAATACGCGTTTTTTTTTTTTTCAAAAAATTGTACATCACCTTTTTAAATATCTGATTTTTTAGAACTCATTTTGTTCAAAGCAAAAATCTCTATCGTCAATTTTGTGTTCTGAAGTGTAAAAATTTGAAATTTTCAAAAATACTGTCAGTTCACCGGAAATGAGAATAGCACAACTTTTATAGTGTCCTTTGATACATACGAGGAGGAAATTAAAGAAAATATATGGTGGCATTTGTCTTACAAAAAGTTGTTTAAAAAATTAAAAATTACCTATATTTCACGCAAAATCTACTCAAACTTTTGAAAGGTTGTACCTAACCTTATTTAAAAATCTGTCTTTAAAGAACATGTTTCATTAAAGAACTAGTGTTGCTACAACATCACATAATTTTACATCGAGTTTACAAAAACACTTAGTGTAAAAAATATAATTTGAATCTTCAGTTAGAGCTTGACGACGTTTTTATCATAAGCGAATTGATACTACTTTGCAAGCGATTGACACAACTTCTTTTAAGTTAGTAATGGATGTCATTTTAGCTGATTTTAACATGCGATATTTTAAAAATAATAATAGTAGAAAATAAAAATATGCCTACTTTAAACGAATTTTCTTCGAAGTGTAAATAAAAAAAAAGAAAATTATGGAAGTCAAATTTTGGTCATTTTTGCGCGATTTGATATGGAATGGGTCATTGTAGCAAACTAACGGCAAAAAATTTCGGCGCAAACCAAGTAAAACAAATTGGTTTGCCACTACTCACTGCCATTAGATACGACTGCGCAAAGGTGCTCGTTCACATCGAAAAGTTGGACTGTGTGAGCAACTGGCGTGGCAGGAGAGACGCCCTGGGAGACTAAATAGTATAATCGATATGTGCCAAGCCAACGGAAAATTACAGTTTTGACCAAGAAAGTAATACAAATTGGTTATTATTAATTGGTTATTATTATTATTATTTAGACATTATTTTTGAGTGTGGTTAAAGAAGAATTTGGGTATATTTGCCATGCTATTAAATGCCACAAAGAAACGTGACTACACAGCGTTAATTGTACAGATAATGAATTATTGAACGACACGCTGTATAATACTATAATAAATTAGGGCCTGAATGCGCAGATGTTCGGTAACAAAAATTTTCATTTCCCTTATTTCTAACTTGGTAATGTGCAAGCGAAAATGGTTTCTTTCTGATTGTCAACTACAGTATGTATTTAATTTTCTTTTTAATTGGACAAATGTAAATATTTTATAAAGTATTAAATTTACGATAGTGGAACAGAAATCGAGAACTGACATGAG